GAGCGAAGATTCATTAGTTAGCTAACTTAGAAACTTGGAAATTGGTTGGTTCAAGCTTACGTAAGCACAAGTCACATTCTGTTTAACAAAAGAACAAAGATTAGATTTTAATATAAGAGTACAAACATATTTATTTAAAAAAAGGTTTTAGTACAAAATGTTTAAATAAGCATACAATATGACCAGGGATGTGATGTAAATTGATTTAAAAAAAGGCATTTTTCATATTATGTGGGCTTTTAAATATTAATTTTACTGTAAAATATCAGTTTAAAATAAGATCAGCCTGTTTCAGGCAGATTATGTAACCAAATACATATTGAATAAACATGCAGAGTCAATCTATTTCTATATATGTGGACATAAAAAGAGAAAAAAGGGGATAATAGAGGGCAGATATACAAATACACAACCGAGCATACTGGAGTTATTAAACTTAAAACTAAACATACACTGTTTGAATAACATAAAATGAATCAGGAAGTCTTCATCTGTGTTGGGTGCATTAGATACTGCGTCACAAGCAGCTGTTCTGTTAAGTGTGTTTCAGCTCAGAGGCAGAGGAGGAGGAGGATGAATGGTCTGAGGCCAGAGGATGGAGAGGTGATGTAAGAGCCATTGTGGCGAGAGAGCGGTCGGAGCTGCTATTACTGTATGAAAGAGAGCGAGCACTTACCCTGATAACCTCTGGGCAGGCGTAGTGCGGAGATCTGTAAAAGAGGCAAACAGGCAGTCAGCAGTCGACACTTTACACAACACTACACACAGGAAACAGCCAGCAGCCACCAAAGAAGAAGAAGGAGAGACCAGGTGAACCTCGGCACGCCCTCCTGACGTCTGAAGAAACCACTTTACCCCGAAAATAAAACTTTTATTGCCTGATGTGGATTATTTTGTTGTTAACTAAGTGAGTGTTACGTAACGTATAATGGCCTCCAGGTTCCAGCTGATGGTTCATCCTGCTGAACAACATGTGACAGCATCCAACACGAGTGGGAGACGTCCTTAAATCATTCACTTAAAGGGAAACATCATTATTTCTCAACCTGGACCTGGATGATGTTTTATGTTTTTTTAAATTGGTGCAGATTAAAGCGAGAGCGCCGTAATCCTCGCTGTCAGGGTTACGTCCATTAACAGCGTTTGATTTGCCACCGACTGGTTCACATTGTTGAGCTTTTCTTCATTTGGAAATGAGAACACACAAAATTGGGAAATGAGCTGTTTCCCGACCACCGTTTATAAATAAGGGAACAAAAAACTATTTTTTTAATTTTTATTTTGTTAGTTGATGTTTCTGAGTCAATGTGAGCAGACTGTGTCTCTAGACTGAAGAGAAGTGGTAAAGAGTCTCAAGGATGGTGGACATCAAGTTTTTATTGCAAAAAAATACGTCCCTTCCTTAAAACAGCTGTTTTTTGAACGGAGTTTGGTGTGACAGTGTGGAGCAGAAGGAATTTTAAAATA